AACATCAACCGCCGCAAAAGTATTCGAACGATGTAAAGTTTAATATGTGGCGGCCAGCTGTAGTGCAGAAGCAAGCATTGGCCGCGTGGACGACCAACACGGTTTATGACGGGCACGCTAGCAAAGCTATTTTTGAGAAAACAGTTTTAGTCTGTTTAATGTTTAGTAAATCTAACAATGCATGTTTTCGTAGAAACTTTCACCAACGGTCTCAATAGCAATTTGCCAAGTCATAAACCAAAGGTTGCCGAAAGGTCCGCGTACGGGCCCAGAGACCCAGGCCACATAGTAAATCTAACAATGCATGTTTTCGTAGAAACTTTCACCAACGGTCTCAATAGCAATTTGCCAAATCATAAACCAAAGGTTGCCGAAAGGTCCGCGTACGGGCCCATAGACCCAGGCCACATGTCCCAAGTACCGGACCTGGAGGAAAATCCGCGGCGTTGCCAAATGCGCTACAGCGGACAATGCGCCCCCACCATAATTCGCCTCGGCCCTGGAAAAAGCGCGCCAAGAGCGCAAAGGACTAGCGGCGGGTTAAAGACAAAATTCCTGATTGGTTAGGTTACAACCAATAAGTTGGGGTTAACCAATCAGGAAAAAGAAGAGGGTGAGAAAGAAGCTCGCAAGGTGACTTGGAGAGTCAGAGTCAGTGAAGCAGATAGTCATTAAGCAATAATCAAGCTGTAGACGTCGTGAGCCAGAATAATAAAGACTACAAAAGAGAACTTACTGTGTGGGTACTAAGTAACCCAGATCACGCACTATCCTCCTATCATTAATCTAATCCTACAAATACATAAACATTTCGTGAATATGACAAAAGGTAAACATTGACATAATCAGTTGATTGGACGCACTTCCTTTAATCGGTATTGTGAATATTGGCAAGATTGTAAAATTTATATCAATAATGAGAAGGCTTATGTTATTAATTTATATAATATATAATTATATATTATTGTGGGGGGTTTTGGTATGAAAGAGTGAATGTGAGAGAGTGGTGTGAATGGCCTGGAAAGGAAGAACGAATGGAAGACGATCGTGTGGCGTGTTTGTATGTAGACATGGGTGTCAAGCCGATCGCGGCGTGTGTAGTGTGTGTTATGTGGATGCGTGCATGGAGAAAAGGAAGGAGAGTGTGAGGTGCGTTAGTGTAAAAAAAACGAGAAGCATCGAGCCGGAAGAGAGCGAATCGGAGCAGCGGTGAGGAAAAGGAAGCAGATTATAAGTGAACAGCACCGGCGTCGCGTAGGGTTACTTTTTATTATAATAAACGCAAAAGTATTTAACGAAATCCCACATTATTAATTTATATTAATAATCATTTAGATTAATAACGAGAAAAGAGTTAATAATTAAATAGCATTATAAAGGCAAGTCATATATATACAGTAAATTCTGTACAAGTGTTAGTCAGTTTGGATTCTACAAGTGTCAGTATAGATGGTCCTACGCCTAGGACTGCGTCATTGCTGCGCCCATGTTATCTCGCTCGCAGTCAGTCAAGCGTGTAACGCTACACCAGTTGATTTCTTTTACGAGATTTCACGGCTCGACAAATCATAATAGAAAAATATAATTTCTTTAATTTTACTTTTTTTCATCTGAAATTTTTTTTAACATGTTGGTGAGATTTTTCTGATGAAAATGATATCAAACAGGATATAATTTGAACATTTACTTATTAACACGTTCACTGTCTGGCGTGACAGTATTATTCAAATTATGTCGTGTTTGATGTCATTTTCATCAGAAAAATCTCATCAATATGTTAAGAAAAATTTCGGGATAAAAAAACGTAAAATTAAAAAAGTTGGTATTTAAATCGCTTGGTTGCCTCAACTCACGTTTCATCCTTATCTTTTATTCGCTGTCCTTGTCTACGTTCGGCAAACTACAAAGGCGGGCGCGAGGCTCGAAAACGTAGTCCCTGACTCTACAAGTGTCAGGTTTAGATTCCTTGCGGACTTGTGGAGAATTTACACTGTGTGTTCGCGCGTGTGTGTGTGTGTGTGGTAAAATTGTAAAATTTTTAGGAATTTACTATCTACAAGATTGTAAAAAAAAAGCCAAAAACCGTTAGATCCCTTCACAATGAAATCCGTTGTGGACGGCCCAAGAAAGTAACGAAACGAGAAGAAAATGTGACCGCCAGTGAAAGGAAAATAGATCCAACTATTTCTGCTTCAAAGCTTGCTAAAATGGTTATTCATATTATTTGGAAAGCAAGTTCATCCTGAATTTTGCAGAAGAAATATCCTTCGAACTACCGAAGTGTTCGTACGTTTTCTTGTATTGTCCTTAAAGGGGGAATCCCATTCGACGGATAGAAAAAATTTATCTTTCTTTTCTTGCATAAATCGATAAGTTTATAATATCTTGAGAATATGTTCCCAAAGTTTTAGATCGGAATTCGAAGAATTAACAGAGCTATATTCCATTGAAACATAGCGCGTCACGCATGTAAGTATGCACATAATATACCGGAGAAAACTTTAAACGGATTTTTCTCAAAAACCAATTTTTTCAAATTTGTGTGCAGCATAACTCAAAAACTATTTAACCGATTTCTCTCTACCTTTGCAAACATTTACATAAATATCTCCTCCAGAAGGCAAACTACAAAAAATAATGAAATTGTTTAAACTAATGCGTGTAATTCCACAACGAAGTGAAAAGTTACGGCGTAAATCGAAATTTTTTGTCCAAACTGCCGCTATTTTGTCAATTTTGGAGTTATTTTCCTAAACTGAGGTTTGCTCTCTGCACAATTGCCTAGAGAACAGAACATTCTTTGAATTTTTTGTCTCAAAATAATAGAATAACCCCTATGCTGCACGCTGTACAAAAGCATTTTAGAAACACGGCCTGGCAAATGTTTAAATAACTCCTTGAGTACACTTTCATTTCTGCTCACTAATCGTTCTTTCTTTGGTCCATAAGTATAAAAAACTACCCTGAAAATTTCAAAAGAATCCGTCTCATAGTTTCCGCAGAAAACACTAACAAACTTTCATATAAATTAGTGCTCGTCGATTGGAGTTCCATCCTTAAGAGAGTTTAGCGTATTATAGTAAACTGAGTGCGTCGACTTCGTGTCCAAGACAAAGTGATTAAAATCCTGATTGTTGTACAAATCTCGTTACTATTGATGAGATCTTACGCAAATATATATATTTACACATATTAAAAAATAATTTAGAACAAAATGTCCAAGAATTAGGCTTAACCCTTTGCGGTCCGAATAGTCTAGTTACTCCATACTCATTTGGCCACTGTCGGGCAATACCGTGTAGTTTGCCTTTATTTCAATATTTCAGCGTGATATTAATTATAAAATATTAAGTTTCAGTATAATATTAACGCATCAAAAAAGGTTTATTATCGCTTATAATTTATAATTCATCATTGCATGATGTCTGAAGGTAAAAATTCCTATGTCGAGTCAAACTCGACATAAGATCGCAAAGGGTTAAGCGGGTATTCTAGTCTAGACTTTTCAAAAAATTCGATTTTCCTTTTTACATTTTCTGAAAGTATTTCCGAATTCGTAAAATTGACGAAGTTATAGATGGTTAAAGAAGACGACATGCAGCCCATAGTCACAGTATACCATTCTCATGTAACTGGTATGAGAAACTTTAAACGCGTTTTTCTCGAAACCATGTTTTTCTAAATGACTGACATGATATCTCAAGTTCTAGTTGTCCGATTGACTCCAAATTTTACATGCACCTTCAGTGGATGTGTCGTTATCGTCTGAACCAGAATTATACCAAAATATATATTTTTCTGATTTTTAGAGCCCCTGAAAGACGAAAAAAAATCGATATACAAAATTCAAAGTGCCGCCATTTTGTAAATTTTCACTAATTTTTTTCATTCTGGTTCACACCATAGTCACAGTCGTACTAATCAAGAATCCTTTTGGTTTTTTCATTTCGGATAAACAGAATGGGCGGAATCGTGTCAGCCAGTAGGACACTTTTTTTTTTAAGGGACCACACTGAATGATATATAATTCAGACAGTTTTGATTATTTTCACTTGAAAATAATTGTGAACTTTCTTAAAACATGAATAAATATGTATGCAAAATGCCGATACTGAGAAACTTATACTTTCCTTACAAACAAATCCCTAAGAAGGACTAAAAAATGACACTCTAGTCTAGAATACCCCCTTAACAGATAATTTTCATTTCTAACAGGACAATGACTCTATATCAGGGCTGCGTTCATTATCGGACCGCCGCATTCTAAGATGTTAATAACAAACCATAGAATTATTAAGGGAAAACACTAGCCAATCAGAGCGCGCGTAGAGCCTGCGCTCAGGAACGAAGAACAGAGGCTCATCCGCGCGCGATCGAAATGCATACCGATCGCTGTCAAAAAAATTTGACTTTGCACCGCTATTTTTATAAGGCTTAGAGAAATGGTTTTTTGCCGCGGATGAGTCTCTGCTTTTTCGTACCTGTGCGCGAGCTCTACGCGCGCTTTGATTGGCCAGTGTTTTTCGTTAATAATTCAAAAACGAAGCTTCAACCAACATTTTGGTAAAGGAAAAAGTTGTTCAGAGTCACCCCAGCAACCCCCCATTTCCGGGTGTTCGAGGAGTTACGGAACACCCTGTATAACGTATCGTACATTTTGGAAACACTCTCGCAAAGTCCAGACCTGAATGAAATTGAGAATTTATGAGCAGAAATTTCCAAAAGTCAATGCAAATGCACTATAAATTCCCGGGTAGAAAGTATAGAAGTTTGGGATAATATAGAACTAAGTATGACTGAAAATTTGGTGAACAGTACGGAACAGCGTTTCGAAGACGTGATAAGTGCTCTCGGTGGACCAACAAAATATTAAAAATTAGTATATTTGCGTACATAATACAACTAAGCTATAAAGTATAAGTCGTTCAAATACTTTTATGGCGTTCATATAGTCGGTATTTTCAAAAAATTCATTATAAATATTATTCATATTATCGGATGCTTTTCAAATTTCACATGTATAATCATGATACTTATATGTTGTTACTGGAATAAAAGCATTTTAGAATTCGTAATATGTATGACTTCATTTTCTTTAAACATTAAACATTTCACTGTGTGTTATTTGTAAAATATTTATTGTATATTATTTGTAGTAATTTTCTTCTAATGAAAATCGAAAACGGATTTTGAAAGTTCCATTCATACTACTTGAAAATTTTTAAATATTAAAAAGAAATTTCACACTTCATTTTAAATTATACCTACAGTGGGTCAAATAAGTCTTTGTACAATGTGATTTAGAAATTTTGAAGCAATAGTTAGCAATGATATTTTGTTTGCATTATTTGTATTCCTCTATATTTACCTATAAATTGTACAAAAAACTGCTATGATTTTATTAGTAATTAACTCGTAAATGTAAGTTCAAGATGAACAGAACAGAATCGAGATAAAAAAAATTTTCATACACCAACTATAAACAAAGCAAACAATGTACGAAAACAATGGAGCAATGCATCAAATATTGTTGCTGTGGACAATACTATGCCAGTACCGTTTTCATAAGCAAAGAAAGTAGATCTAAAACTAACAAAACTTAAAATTAATATGTGAACTAATGATGAAGTTAAGAGAAGAAGGAAAGTCATTTCAAGAAATTGTTGGTGTAGTAAAAAAATCACATTCAGGGTTGAACCAAAAACCATGTCTTCCAAAATTGGCTAAGATGGTTGAAACTGATTATAGTGTCAAAGTTGTGCTGGAAACAGTTCATACTATCATTAGGAAAGCAGGGTATAAAGGTTCTGTCAAAAACCTTTCGTTGGTAAAATGAATAAGAATAAATGAATGAATCTTGCAAAAGTTCATGCAGATAAATCAATAAATTTCTGGAATTCAGTATTATTTAGCGATAAAAGTAAATTCAACGTATTTAATTCGGATGGACGAGTTATAGTGTGGAGGAAATCCAACTTTCAAATAGAAACTAAAGATCTCTGCCTAACCGTGAAGCATGGTTATGGCAATGTTCTTGACTGAAAGTGCATGAGTACAGATTGACCAATAAAGATAATCTACATACATAAATTAAATCTTGGTCTATCATTTATCTTCCAGCAAGATAACGACCCTAAACATACCGCGAAGAAAGTTAAAAAGTGGTTCTTACATGCTGTACCCAACCTGCTTCATACACCTCCTAAATTACCCTATTTAAATCCAATTGAGCATTTATGGGATAAACTAGGCAAACGTATTAGAAATTTTAATATTAGAAACAATAAACAATTAAAACAAGCATTGTAAAAAGAGTGGAACAAAATTGAACCTGTAACGACAGCAAAATTAGTTGTTTTCGTATAAAAATGTATGAGAGAAGTACTCAAGGCCAAAGGAGGATCCATAAATCATTAGTTATAATCAAAATGCAAAAATTTGACTGTCTAAATTAAATTTATTTATATGTACACAGACTTTTTGGCTTAATTTTTGTTCAGTTACAATTTATATTTTATTTCTGTATCAATTAAGTGTCAAAAATTCATTCTTTTGTTATATCAACACTTAATACGTTACTTTTGAAGATACTCAAAAGAATTTTTATTCATTCATGTTATAGTTTAAGTTATAGTATAATAAATTAGTTCGAGCAAGATGAAGGAGACTTACTTGACCCACTGCATATACATACACAAGTATAAGATGAAAACCTGGTTATAGGTTAATAGCTCAATAATAATGTGAAATAAAACAGAATCGTATGAAATTTATTACTATTAGGAAAAATTTGACTTTAAAAATTACATTAACTTGATTTTAAATAAAATATTTCACAATTATAAATATAAAAGATTCTAAGTACCTCTCATCTGTTCATTTCAATTTAACAAAATATCTAAACAATTATCATGAATTATGAATATAATTTCAAAGTATTTTGTTTGCTTCTTCTTAATAAGAAGTGTATGTTTTTTATCAGTTATACTTTCTTTAATTCAAATATTTAAAAATATTTTTTAATTTGCATAAATAAAATCAAAATAATTATAAAATTTTCATGTTTGAGCTGAGAAAAAGATAACTAATTGATGGTACAAATTTAAATAATTTTTAATAAAAAAATGAAATTTTATCTTTATACAGGAAGATTCTAAAACCTGAGACAAGATGTCACTCTATTCCAAGCAAAAATGAGAAAAAAGATAGAAAATTTAAAGGGAAACTTTAAATGGTTGAACAGAGTCTACATTACAGTACTAAAATTGTTTCTGCTAATAATGCATATGCAATATGTACCATGCAATTGCATTTTTTTTAAACAAAGCTATATATTTCTTTAGATAAATCTTTTTCTAGACATTGCACTCATAAAAGTATTACAATAATGAGATAAAAAAATAACTAATTCACTAAATAAAATAATTTGATTATAATTGGTGTTTAAATGTTCCACTATCACAATTTAAACATTTTTATATCTTTCACAACATTATCGAGTTGTTTGGCAGTTATATAGTGTATAATAAAATAGTTAATTTTAATTCTGTTATAAATCATCCACAAAAACAAAAGGAAATGAATACACTTTATCTTCAAGAAAACACAGCAGATTTCAATCTTATGGCTTCAATGGCCAACTATTTCTATTTGTAAACTTTTGTCAAGTAGCTGGTTACATCGAACTTACAAGGAAACATTACTAAATAAAGAGCTTAGCGTAAATTCCAAGAAATTTTAGTACTGTTAATTGGTTAATCTGTGATAAGGAAAAAAATATGGATTAATAACTCATGTATCCAAAATTCCAAACCAAGTTAATACTATGAGTTAATACTAAATCTCATTTACTTTGTTTATGTTCCTTGCTATGATTATTTATATTCAAATATGTTCATTACGTTGATTAAGAATCCAATTGTTTGTAAATGTACATTTACCTGACTAGAAAAATTGTCTAATGAAATGTGAATCATTTGCTTCTTATTGCAAGAAAAATGGTTAAATCCATACTTGTTATATTTCATCATGTATTTTCCAAGCATGGTATGTGGAATAATATCTGTGGTATTTATGTAATTCTAAAATTTAAGAAACAAAATTTTAACTAATGCAGTATTCTCTTGCCATCTCATATTGAGGCAATAGGTTTAATAATTTAAATTCTTTCTATGACAAGGCCTGCAAAGTAACGTCACATTACTAGTTGTACAAAATTTTTGCTAGATTTAACCGAAGAACCATATTTTTTTACATTTTTCTCCTATTCATAAAAATAAAATATTACTGTATATACTTGTAGTATTTGTACATTTTTATCATACTTTGTAAATGTAGTAAACATATGAACATTTTTATTATTTGAAAAGGACTATAAAAATTGAGTAAATAAACATCCAAGAAATAAATGTCAAAAGAGTTACATCTTGCCTTAGTTTTTGGAATTATCCAATGTATTAGTCTATGTCACTATCAAATTTAAATTACATACAGGTATGTCATTATATAATACACAGAATAATTCAAATATATTTACCGATTTATCAAGCAGATGAAGCTTTTGTTTTTGAAAAATTTTTTGTTTTTTCTCCTTACATGTAACTGACATAGTTTTATGCTTTAATATGATGATATAGTAATATTATCATAAAATATTAAAGACAATATAAAGGTCTGTGGTTTATTTTGTCACAGTTCTTATTAATAATGTATCTAAAACGAATATGTATAATTATTATCATAATTAGTATATTGTTAGATTACTTATTTTTTTGTAATTATACACAATTTGAGTACTCAAAATTGAAAATCTTGTTCTACATACATTTAAATATTAAATTGATAAGAATATACATTACAAAATTTTAATATAAGGGTATATAATATCATATAACAAATGTGTAGCAAATCGGAAAATGTACTTTTTTATTGGAAAACAAAGTAAACTCAACTTACTGAATAATGTAAAATTTATTCACACCAAAATATACCAAATGTCAACTCAGACAACACTTAATAAGCCTTGTATTTGAGTACATCTTATAATGTAAAATAATATTGAATAGTAAACATGAGTAAAACTTTCATAACCTATGAATTTTAAAAATATTCTATTATTGTACTGAATTTATACCAACAAAAAAAAGTAAAACATTATATAAAGTATTTCAAAATTATGGAACAAACAAAAAAACGTAGTTTTATTATGTCCAAACATTAAAATGTTCTTACTATTTTCAAACTTGCACACTGAGATACATCGAGCTTTGTTGGATCCCTGGAACTAGGGATGTTCAAAGATCGATCTTATAAATCGATTCTCTGAGGATCGATTCTTTACCCTAAAAATCGAGAACCGACTTTACTTTCTTCAATTTGTTTTCCGTTACTAAGGAAGTTTTCTTACTACCAACTATATATATACATATATATAGATAATGACCTATGGTCCTTTCACGATAATCTTCTTAAAATTAAAATTGTGAATGCAGGGAAGCAATACCAAGATGAGGTGTAAACTAATTTGAAGCACTACTTGGATCAACCAATGATAAATCGCAATGAAAATTTAATATGTTATTCATGTGCAGTCCTCTGCTGCGTTTCCCCCTCCTAGGGATAGTTCTGCCTCAAGGCTAAGGAAGGCCATATTGCCAAGGGGGTCCTCTTGACTAGTTTTTTCAGGAAGGACAGAATTGTATCAGCACTCTTGGAGTATAGTTCAAAATACAAGGATTCACTCTCTTTAACCGCCCACGTGTATATTTTATTCCACCGCTCACCACCGTCATCCTGACCGTTTTTACCTTACATTCTACTTTCAAAAATAACAGCACGTATGTATATGCGTATATGCATACATATGTAGGGGAAGCACGGGTAACCCCGGACAGCGGGTAACTGCGGATAGTTGAATATTTCGATTATCCAACTGTAAGACACAGAATTAATAACAAAAACACAGTGAAGGCTGTTAAGTAAGTATATTTTTATTTTTCAATATACGCGGTTGCTACGATGGCTCGAGTGTCCGTCTCGTTTGACGGTTATAACAAAAGTGCCCTTTCCGCGTCCTATGCCTGCGTCGCTCCGAAAAACCGTTGTAGCCTCCTAGTCCAAACTGTCCTGGGAATGGGCTTAATTTATGACACCTTCAAGTATCCGCGCGCTTTCTCTTGCGGTGACCCTAGGTGACAAAGACCAGGCCACCACTTCGTCGCTTAAATCTCGCGTTCCTTACACAACTACATAAAGAAACAAATGACACATTGCCACGCATGTTCCTAGTGTTACGCTATCGCGTAAACGTAGCTTTAATCACACGTCATGCGTGCTCATGAATATAGCTTTAGGGTGGTCTTAATCTAGAGAGATCGACGCGCACAGCTGGACCGCAATTTGAATTGTCAATAATGTATGTCTCAAAAGATAGACTGTATCTGGAAATTGTCTACGGGTTAGATGCGTGGTACTGCGATGGAAAGTTAGAACTCGGGAACGGAAATGCTTTGTTATTGTAGTCGAAAGATTTTATTCAAGAACCGTAACCACTTGAGAGTTAAGTTTAAGTCACGTAGGCTTTCTCGACAGGATGTTTGTTTCGGGACTCAGAAATGTACGCTCGTCGTTCTGTTTTATATCTCAACGATATCAAACCGTGTCAACTAGATAGAACTCTAAGAGGGCCATAAATATTGTCAAGGGCTAGTTCTCGCGCGAATCGCTACACTTCTGCACACTTTCCCTCGCGCGTGCACATCACGTTGGCGGATATAACAGCGTGCGTTCTACCACTACCAACTAAGCGCTGCCATCACCATCGACTAACGAAGGATCGGGGGTGGAGTACGTGTAGGAGACGAAGCGCCGATCTATGGGGTGGAAACTGTCTCTCGATTGGACCACCAGGATCTGGCAGGAGGACCAGGGGAAGATCCAGATTCTGAGAGAACAAGAAGAGAGACCTCGCGTCCAAAAATTTCCAAAGTCATTCTTTCCAATTCTGTATCTCGAGTCTTGAAGTTTCGTTAATCTTAAAAGGTATTAAACAGTTGTGAAATATAGAAGCACAGTAAATTCTCTACAAGAGTCAGTAAGTTTGGATTCTACAAGTGACAGTATAGATAGTCCTACGCCTAGGCCTACGTTATTGCTGCGCCCATATTATCTCGCTGAGATTTTTCTGATAAAAATGATATCAAACACGATATAATTTGAACAACATTTACTTATTAACGCGTTCACTGTCACGCCAGATTTACAGATTGCTGTCAGGCGGCCACAAGAAAATACATTTTAAGCATAGGATTATAGTATTATGCTCTATAATTTTTTTTTTCAATTGAAAATAATGTCTAGCTAGCTATGACGTTCAAAATTTTTAGTTGACATTTATTTTATATTAATTATTCTAAACATTTGAAGCACTCCAGTCACTGATGACCACCATGGCCATATCGAGCAAACAATGTAATGTTAATACATATTGAGTGATTAATTTAATTTCATAACATATCGCTTTGGATGAATTACAAAAACAAATTGCTAAGAAATTACATTAAATACCTGTACACATTATCCGTCGAATGTAGAGGGAGAGCCACCGTTTATCACAGAGTCGGCCTACCTCCACGTAAAAAGAAAAAAAATGTAGGGTCGATTCCACAAGTGTCAGTAAAATGTAGGGTCGATTCGACAAGTGCCAGTAAAATGTAGGGTCGAT